AAGAAAGAAAGAAAGAAAGAAAGAAAGAAAGAAAGAAAGAAAGAAAGAAAGAAAGAAAGAAAGAAAGAAAGAAAGAAAGAAAGGCAGACTGGCAGGAGCGGGAGAAAGAGGAAATCTGCTCCCAGTGGCAGCCGAGAAGCCGAGGTCGAGGGAAGGCAGAGAAGACCCCGGGGGTCAGAAGCAGTCCTGAGTTCACACTGCCGGCCCAGTCCTGTCAGGTGTTTCCCGCACCCAGAATGAGGCCTTCAAATCGTGACCTCATCAGTGGTCTAATTCGCTTGATGCCGTCTGAGCTCTCACAATTTTACTGTTTCCCAAAACCCAATCAGCTGGCAATCAAGCTCGAGTTTTGGGAGATGTTTCAAATCCAAACCCTAACACGTGCTTCGAAACAGAAAAACAAAATGTTCTGAGCTTTAGACCCACAGGTGAATGCGGCGAACAGAGTGCCCAGAAATAATCCCAGCATGGATAGTCAAAAACCAAAGACATAGGCTGGGGAAAGGGCAGTCTCTCCAGCGAACGTGACTGCTAGGAACTCGGACTCCCGTGTCTCATCTTATACAAAAATCAACTCAAAATGGGTGCAAGACCTCAATGAAAGAGCAGAGACTGAAAATACTAGAGAAGTGTTTGCAAGAGACACTTGAAGACGTTGGTGCAGTCAACCGTACTCTGGATGCCCAAAAGCGCTAAAATGAAAGCAAAAATAGACAAAGGGTTACGTCAAATGGGGAAGCTTCTACCTGTAAAGCAAATGATAGGATAAAGAGAAATGACAGAGTGGGAGAAACTCATACAAAACAGTCATCGAAGCAGGGCTAATATCTAGAATATAGAAGGAACTTTAAAAACTCAAGAGACAATAACCTGATTTTGTTTTAATGGGCAAAGGATACAAATAGTTTTCAAAAGTACAAATACAAATAAATGGCCAATAAATGTAAGTTAAAAACTCTTGACTTCACTGGCTGCTAAGAAAAATGTAAAACAAAAGTACAGTATGATATCTCACCATCATAAAAATGGCTAATACCAAAAAAGACAAAAATAATAACAAATGTTACTGAGAATATGAAAGGAAAGGAAATTTTATATATAGGTGGTGGGAATATAGATTAGTAAAACTATTTATTGGGTATATAGGTTCCCCCAAATGCTAAAACTAGAAGTACTACACGATCCAACTGTCCCACTTCCAAGAACATAGCCAAAGAAAACTGCACCCGCATATGAAGGACACTTTCACGCCTATGATTTTTGCTAAACTATTCACAACTGTTAAAATATGGAATCAACTTAGATTTCTGTCAGCAGATAAGTGGAAAAAGAAAAAAAATATATATATATATAATATATATATATATATATACAATGGAATATTATTCAGTCAAAAAAAGATAACCTATGAGTTGCAGCAAAATGGATGGACCCACAAGACAGTATGTTAAATGAACTATATCACACACAAAAGACAAATACTGCACAGTTTTGTCACATACGGATGTTTAAAGTAATTAGGTCTGAATGTATAATGTAATTGTTATTTACATTATCATACACTCAGGTTGTATAAAGCCTCCCGAACACAGTTGGATGGAAGGAATTAACTCCAGGGTTCCACAGCGTGGGTGAGTTGAGTGTAGTTCACAATAACGTACTACACACTTTATCACTAAAAGACTGATGCTCAAAGGCTCCAAGCCCAAAGTTAGATAAGCAGAGGCGAATGTTAACTATCCTGACTTGATCGGTGCACATTTTATTCTTACACTGATACCATACTGTACCTCATACATTTGCAGAATTACTGAGAATTAATGAATTTTTTAAAAAGCTTCAAAAGTTGGAAATGCTAACTATCCTGATTGGATTATAGCACACTATATACACATATCAAATTATCACAGTGGACCTCATAAACTTGTACCATTAAATTAATAATTAATTTTTTAAAATAAAAAAGTTCTGAAGTTTTAGCAATAGACCATAGGTGATTTCATACTCTTTTAATGTATTTATTATTATATTTATTATATTATTATTTTTAATGTATGTATTATAGGTAGCTTTGTTAATGCTTTCTTTCTCATTTTTACATTCTAAACTTTAAATATTAGATATATTAGATATTCAAAAAAACAATACCACTTTTAAAAAATGAAAAAAAAGGCCTGAGAATTTAGCTGAAATTTCCTTTCTTGTACTGAAATTTGAAATTCATTGAAATTGTTTCCTGGCAATCACAATAATCTAATACCTGTAATTAATGTTTAATAATAATTTTGTGATGAACACACTTTTCTGCCAATTAAAACCATAGCCATACAAAGAATTTATCCTGTCGGAATCAATTCTTCACCGGTTTTAGTTTAGTAAGGCCTCTTTCTGTCATTGCATTGAATCTTTCTGTGCGGGGGACACAGGGTAAGCAAGGCTCTAGGAAAACCCTTTTTCTTTAAAACAATACATGCTAACTTTTTTCAGACTGGGCTACATGACCAGTAGGGGTATTCTGTGAATTATTTAATTAGACACAAGGAGAACTATCCATCCTCATCATGCACGCATTGCAGAGAACAAGCTTGCACCCGTGAGGATTATGTGCATGTTCACTTGATTATAGGATATCTCCTAGGCTGGATCTTTCCAGTACACAGCACCAATTTCCCCTCTTCTAGCCAAAGTGCCCCTCTACCTGTTCAGTGATATAGTAACCTTTACTTTATTACTGGATATGTGACTTGAGGTACAAGCAGCTCACTCACAGCTACAGCAGGGACATCACACCAGTTCGTGCGTAAACGATATGATGCTTCTCAGGAGCAGATCTGAAAACTGTTTGCTGAAGTGAGACGGAAAGAAGTACCTAACATGGAAGGGACAGGAAGGAATCCTGACTCATAAACACACAGACATCTGTGGAACTGAATAGGGGTTGAATATATTTCAAAACCAACCCAGGCGCATGCCTGTAATCCCAGCACTTGGGAGGCTGAGGAAGCAGGATCTCCCTGAGTTTGAGACCAGCCTGGGCTACATAAGTGAGTTCAGCCTGCACTACATAGAGAGACCCTGTCGGAAAAAAAAAATTCCAATCTAAATCATTTTGAAAATTTTGGTTCTTTTAAGTAGGAAGTGATAGAAAATAGAAAGGAAAGATATGAACTTTAGCAGTGTACCTAGAATAGGTACAAATCAATTTGCCCTTGAAGTGTTATATAAAAAACAATCCACAGGACAAAAGATGTGTCACCTCAAAATACCTAGAAATACCATTCACATATGAGAATAATTATACTGAATATCAGAAATTTAGAGTTTTAAATAAACTAGAGATGATCTGGACATAATTGTACCTGTTTTCAGAAAAAGAAAACAATTCCTAAAACATTCTTTTATCCAACACCCCACTGCCAGTCAGTTAATATAGTTTCTGTAGTTCATAACAGAACTATACATATTTCATACTTCACCGGAAATACCATGAAAACACAGTTTTTAAGATACATTCTTGAAAACAAACCGGTACATACCACTGTGTGGACTTGGTCGTACGTACTTTGGATTTTCCCATTTACTTTGTTTTTACCTGTCAAAACAATGGAGAGTGTCACTATCTCTTTCTTTTTGCTCCGCAGTCAATTCTAGCTAATCGCTGCGGAGAGGACCACAGCGTGTGCTGGCTTCAGTCTGGGTGTGCTATTTTAGTAGCTGCACTTTCAAACGTTGATTCCAATGAAGCCCGAGCGAAAGGTAACTAGAAGAAAGCTCAGGACCCCTTACTGCCTGTCTATGCCCGCGTTTGCTGGGCTACCTTTCCATTCTGAACATTTCTACATTTAATTTGGGCTTTTCTGGATCAGTTGTGCTCACAGGTCAAGGCTTTATTTTAGACACTACAATTGCCAACAACATCCTAAAAATAGCAAATATTAATTATCACTTCTTTAAAATCACCTAAAAGGTTTGAAATAATAGTAAATTCTATTCTTTTGGCATTTTCAGAAATACGAAGACATGGAAATCAACTAATTTCATATTATGCAACTAGTACAGTAATTAAGCTTCAGATGATTAGAAAAAAAGAAAAACTCACAAAGGCTTACTGAAACAAAACTTACTTCCAACAATAGTCTTGTGATTGAAAATCTTACTCCAAATACCACCTTCTACATTGTCTTTTACTCCAAATTCATAGACTGTGTTGGGCTTTAGATTGTCTACAATTGTTTCAGTGGCTGGACAGAGCTGAAAAATCCATTTCTTTTCTTTATCCTTTTCTCTATAGCGAATTGTGTAAAGTCTGTTGAATAATCAGAATATAATACTTTAAAATCACAGAGAGATTCAGAATATACTTTCACAAATTTTTAATACATCACAGACTTTAATCTACTCAGAAAACTAAATGTAATTTTGGACTGTTCAGATTTTTTTTTTAATCTGCAAAGAATATGAAAAATAGTTCAATGTGTACTTAAGAGTTTAATTTCAAACTGAGGCTGGGGGACCATGCAGGAACCTGGCTCTGGTCTGGCAGAACTCCACAGTCCCCAGTTCTTTTACTTGCTGTTTGACAAATTCATAGTCTAAAATTGATTTCTTTCCAGTTATACATAGAGCAGAACATAGGTATCATTTTATAAAAACTTAATATCATAGTTTCATAATAATTTATGAAATCGGGCCGTTTTATTTCTGGAAAGTACATTAATGGTAATATCGTTCAATTTTGCAAAAGATGAATTTGAGACTCTAAGATGTGTGCAGGAGTACATGCTAAGGGTGGGATAGACTTATTACATAAAAGTATCAAGACCAATAAACAGCCAAGCTAAGTACAATAAGAAAATGTAAAACGCAAATTCAAAATCTCTGATATGTGCTTGCTTAGGGCTTCCTAACTCAGGGGTACACATGTCTGTGTAAGATAATCTCTACCACTATTTTCTGTACCTTTACTGCAGGCTAGATTTTACATATATTATTCCTTTATCACAAAACATGTTAAATGGTGGAAAGGATTAATCCTATTTCATAAATGTGAAAACTAAGTTTCAGAACCGTTGCTTAATTTGTCCAGTGTCACCCAGCTAATGGCTTTTATAGCCGGTAACGGCAAAACCAAAACAAAAGAAAGGCTTCTCTGGCTCTATTGAAGCAGAAAGTGGGGCAGATCATGAAAGGGCCTCACATCACTACTGTCCACAGTCATGAGGATGAACAACTAGTGGAAAATGTATCTATGTAGATACTCGATTTTACAAAAACATTGAATGAAAATAACTGATCGCAAATAAATCACACAGTTAAAGCAGATATATTAAACCATTCTCACAAAATATTACTATGTTATTATCCCTAGCATTATAAAGGGTAAGTATTGCGAGACCATAACATTTATTTTTTTATTTTAAAGAGAAAAAAATTAAAATAACAATAAGACAGTTTCAAACAGGTTAGTAGAAGAGTTACAATCATTAATACCTTGCATATTACTGTCTTCATAGTAGTTATTCCGAATATAAGATATAGGCATCTTTTTCCAACAATATTAACACAAATCTTTCTCTCCAATGAACTAAAAGAAGTCAGCTGTACAGCTATCTTAACTGTCTTGTGTGTAAATGTAATTTTTATTTTTCCCTTTCTTCCTTTCCCCTTTCCGAGATAAATTTGTCTTTTCTTTTCAACAGTTTCTTCCCAGTTCACAATCTCTACTGTACCTTTTGCTTTTTTTTTTTTTTTCCTCCGGTACCGGGAACCGAACTCATGACCTTGCGCTTGCCAGGCAGGCGCTTTTGCCGCTGAGCTAAATCCCCAGCCCTCTACTGTACCTTTTGGATCTTGTTTATTTATTCAATGTCTCACACTAGTGAGACAATCTGATGTTTACTAGCGTGCATTCGTCTCAGACGCCCATTTTTGGGTTGGGTCTTTCAGTTTGGGGCTGGGGGTCTAAGATCATCACACTTATGATAGTCCTTTGGCTTCCACCAAGCGGTACCTAGATAGACGTCTTAGAAGGTGGTGTCAGCTGATAGGTAAACTGTATCTGTTTTTTATTTTTAAATAAATAATTTAAGCATTTTGCTCTTTAAGTTATTTATTCAGTCTACTCTTGTACGAGTTCCACAGCCCTGAAATGCTTGCAATGGTTCACTGACTTGCTTCTTCCCAGTAAAAGCCACACTCAGAGCTCTCAGCCCCAGTTCTACCATCGCAGAAGGCAGAATGAGCAGAGCAGGCTGTTTCAGCCCAAACGCTAACTGCCTGGGAAACAAGTGTTAGAGAATACCAGTCCTTTGTGTCTGGTAAATCAAAATATCAACAAGAGTTTATGAAATGCACTTCTGGGCACGTATGCTACATGGGATTTTTGGTGTTTTTTCCCTGTCCTAATTCTTACAGGACTTTCTAGAAGTGCTAAGAAACTAAAATCCGACCAAATGGGCTTCCACAATCCTGCATCTGAGCATAGACAGATTTTGAGGACTTCCTTGTATTATCCAGGGTCCAATTGCTCACAGAACTACCAAAGGGGCTTTCAAGTCAACATGACTTTACATCATTTTGCTGTGAATAAAATGGGATGGAAATGTTCTGTGCTCTTTAAAGGTCCTAAACTTAACCACATGTTTAAAAAATACAGCCCACAAATTTATTCTAGTTCAATCACAAGGCATCCAAAATTCCCTCTTTGTATTAACTCTGGCAGGTACATGGGTGGCCAGCTCTTCTCCTTTGCTTCAGTTATGCTTACCCTTGCCAGTACTGTCCAAGTTGACCTGTATAATATAGGCAAGTTTTATATACGAAAGGAAAGAGCAAATGAGGCCACTTAGTTATACTGAAAGTAGTGAGATGAAACAAAATATAGGCCTAAATTAATAATCTGTGCTTTATAGCCCAGCACACAGTACCTGCTTCATGAATATGTATGGCATGAACAGAGTGGATATTTAGCTTCTCACTGAATCCTTTTAAAATTAGAATATAATTTGTCTAAATGGCCAATAGTTCAATCATCAAAAATATTAATTTAAACCTAGGGCTGTAGTTATATTTTACAATGTGTCATTTTTTACTTCCCACAGTGTAGCTCTTGTAGAACCAACACAAGCTGAAGCAAAATATAATGAACTTCTGCTTATCTGTTTGCTTGCTTAAATCTATAATCTTATTTAAGTTGAAAGGGCTAAGAAGTAGTCATTCTAATAATCAGTCACAGAACCAAGGTACACACTGTTTTCTACTCTTAATCTAAAACTTTTTTCTCCTCATTAGACTCTTCTACTCTAGTGCTTTGCAAAAAAAAAAAAAAGTGAAAAACATAAAATGAAGGGACATACCATAATAAGAGCACCATTTGGCACCATTCAAGTGTTTTAATTTATTTTTATCTTATTGTGTATTTACCATAACAGATAGTCATTCTTATATTTTCTGAGGATGTTCAGAATCAAAATTTTGGTTACACCTTTTTCCAAAGGATGGCTCAATTTGGGTCCAACTGCACAGAGAGGCAGCACATCAGCTAAAATCACAGACAGTAGCTAGAGGTTGGTATCACCAGACCTCTGGAAAAGCTGGTTCTAGTGCTATGCATGTTAGGAACAGAGTCACTCATGTCGTTATTAAGGGGTAGAAAACTGTTGAAGGCAGTGCTGGTTCAACTGACATTCTTGGTTGCTTGGACCTCCAGAACAGTCTCAGTGTTGACAATGATCATAGCTTTAATGATCCAATAGCTCCTCGAAATGCAGTAGAAATGCAGGGAGTAGCTTGACTTGGGTACTAGTCAATTGTACAATCGTAGAACAAACTCAGAAGAATCTCTTTTCCCTCTTATGCACCAATTTTGTCAGAGATTTTGGACACTAGACAATCTTAGAGATCTTTTCTGTTCATAGAAATTTATTGCAATATCATTTCTGACATTTTGCTCTAATGTACCTGAGACAGGGATGAAAACCCCATAAGCTGAATTAATCATATAACCGCCAAATTACACCAAAGGGGTAAATTTAGTCCTGCTACAAACTACCCTACCTAGCGATATGACATTAGGTATCCTTTGGTCTTTCTATAGTTTTCTTCAGTAATGCTTTTATTTCGATAGAATTAAGTATTTCATTTTGTAAAACATTCACGACACATAATTTCCAGTGTCCTCACATCCAGGGCCGCTCCCTAACACCCTTTGTCAAATGTTGCTGCTTTACTGAGATTCTCACCAATGATACAAATTCTGCCCACCTCCTCCTTTTCAAGTGTCTTTCTTCCCTTTCATTCTTATCCCTCTCGAATTTCAGGGGAAGAAGCAAATCTCCTCTTCTCACAGATTTTTTGGTCATATATTCCATTTTCTTATTCCATCTGCTCTTCAACCTTAAGTTTTCAAGGAACTTTGTCCTTGAATATAAAAGTATTTTCTATTCCACCTAAACAAAAACGTTCTCCTCTTAACCCTGTTTCTATATTTTAGCACAAACTTTCTTTTTTTAAAAAAAAAAAATTTAAAGAATAAAAGAAGGATAACATAATAATAGGGGGGACTTAGCAAATTACAGACAAAATGGTAGGAAATTATCAATGGTTATCGTTTTACATATTATTATCTACAAAATAGTTTCTCAGGAAAACAAATAGACAAATAATAGTGAGTTAGAGACAAAAGAGGTAGGAGATTATCAAGAGTTGTTGTGCTATACTTTGGTATCTTCAAAGAGGCTTCTAAAGAAAATAAATAGAGCTATACATGAGTGACCTATTGAAAAATCATTAACTATTCTCAATGGTTGTTGTAGGAAACACATAATAATAAACATACATTATGAAATAGGATAGGAACATTACAAACTTAACACAGTTATGGATAGATTAGTAGGAAAATATCAATGGCTGCTGTAATACATGGTGGTATCTTCAGAGTGGTTTCTCAGGAAGACAGAGATAGGCAAGAAGGATCTAATAAGTAGTTACAGCCTAAGGGTTGTCAAAAATAGCATATTACCTCCTCACCAGTGACTCCTTTCACTGAGGTATGATGGCTGGAAGGAAGGCCAGGATTGAAAAGAAGGACCAAGAGACTTGCACCTGTGACTAGCAACAGGCTGTTTTCTTGTTCCTCCATAGTCATGATTACCCAGGGCTCCTCGATGGAGATGACGGTCTGGCCAGAGGGAGAAGACAGACCATGCCCCAAGCCCTCTCATTCCTGTTGGACTAACTGGTAGCATGGGTCTGAGCTCTGGGGCCTCCACCTCAGAGGGCAGACCGATCTCCAGTGGTCTCCTTTGC